TCATGTCATTAAATGATTTTGGCAGCTTGGCATGTGTAAATGCTTCTTTCAGCAAATCAAGCACCATAGATATTTCCTTATCACTTATCCCACACATGCATTTGATATGGTACAATTTCAATGTAAATGACAGCTTCGTAAATTTTGAGCATCCATCACAAAACTTTTCAGTAAAATCAGCAAGCAACTCATCAAAACCTTCTCCTTTTCCAAAATTTTCACTTGAAGTTGACAGACTATCTGTGTCCATAGGTTGCTCACACGATCCAGATGCATTTCCGCCATACATATTAGTATCAATACCAGGAAAAAGATCATCCAAGAGATTCAAAGTTGAATCCAATTCAACTTGAGCAAAATTATCAGTAGGTACTCTTACACTTTGTGTAACATATATTTTCTCTCCATGTAGAACCCAAGTTGTGTAAGAACTCAAAAAGCCAAAGCACATCAAATCACCTTCAATATCTTCTCTTAAGTTAAATTTGGATAGAGAACAACGATTACATGGACATTTCATCGCAGTTGCATTTGATTTACTAAATGAAAAATCCAAGAAGTTTTTGACCATGATATGTAATCTAGAGATAAACGTGGTTTTTTTTATCCCCATCGCAACCTGAAAACCAGAAATTCAAAAAAAAAGATTAAATCGTATACTATAATTTGATAATCATAAGAGGTAAAGGAATAAAAAGTCAAATCGATCCTATCATCAAACAGCAACACACGTTCGTATCATCACAATCCAGCTTTGTGTACGCTTTTGAAGCTTCATAAACAACTTAAATAAGTGTAGAAGAACTTTTGAAACGTGATTCCAATTTTTTTTGCAAATGGAAAGTACAAATCCCATGATGAGTAACTCGATAATTTATCAAAAGTGCATTAGCAATTTACGAGTAAAGCAATGTATGGAAATTTTTATTAATTTTAACGTGATTTGCTTGATTATATTAACTAATTTATATATTTACTTGTCTTTTAGTTTGACTAGTAAATATTAGTATAAAGAGATCAGCAACTGTTACAAAGAAATTGAAGTATGAATTTCAAACCGGTTTAAAACTCATATGACTCAAATCAAAACACATTCACTCACTTTCAATTAATAAACCGGTTGAATCGGAGTAGGCGAAGCATGATCAGAGACAAAAATCATTCGCATCTGCAATAAAATTCTTCAGACATTTCAGAAACCAAACCCAAGATGCATCATTTTTAGAATCAACTATAGGATATAAGTTAAAATTTCCATCTTGAGTAGAGGGAGCAAGCAAAGTCCCTTTCAACTTTGATTTCAAATGTGCACCATATATATGTATATTACTTTTCTCATCAACTTATACCCTCTAATAGATTCACCAAAAGCCAGAAATGCATACTTAGAGAGTCAACTTTGAGAAAAGTTATAAAACCTGAATTCTTCAGTTGTACCATGTGGAACCACTTCAGTAAAAATTCATAACTATAATCAGGTAAACCCCTAGCAATTTCTTGAACTCTATAAGTCTTAGAATATGTGGTAACTCCATACCCATTTCTAAATATTTCCATGAGTTGTTTAGGTTTGAGTGGAAGTTTTCCTCTTTCAAAATGGTTACTTAAAAAACTTCCTAATGTCTTTGCAGTTGCTTAAGGATGACTAACGAGAAAAAAAAAAGTTTCGACCAAAACAAATGATGTAAGTTTACATTTTATATTTATTTGGTTCAAAAGATACAAACTAGTAGGAATAGTATCACTTAAATGTAATTGATGTCAAACTAGTTAATTTTAATTTCAGTTAATATAATTGATGCCAAGTCATACATATTGGTATCTTATAAATAAGTAATTAAAAAAAATATCACATAATTAAGTGCTACAATACACTCATTTTTGTAGTTGTAGTTACCATTTTCATTCATTTTCTACTGTTCCCTCACAAAATGCAAAAACATCGTCATCTTATTTCCTGAAATCATAGTTAAACATATCGTTAGAAAACATGCCATATATTATCTCAGTTACCATTAATAGCGGCTGGATAACGAATTTGGTTGCATTTATGGAATATTCTGTCATTTAACACATACTTGAGTATTGAAACCTCTGAGCGTTGCTTTTTTTAATTATTAATCACTCAAAGTTCTTTTGTTCTTTATATGTTGTGTCTTGTTGTTTGGCAACCCAACTACTCTGATAATAAATAGGCAAACAATTTTTGCATTTTTCCCACAACGAAAATTAATATCACGTATAATCATTATATTTCTGCAAAATCTGAGCAACGGTTCAAGAGTTATTGCTGTTTTACTGAACGTATATACACCTAGTCGAACACCCAGTCGGGCACAAATTTTGACAACAGATCCGAGACAAGCCAAACCTTAGGCCCGACAATCTTGATTATGTTGACAACCTTAGAAACCTTAGACAAGACAATCTTGATTATGTTGATTTAGAACTTAGGAATTTTATGCCCGGAAGGTCTTCGATGAAATTCTCGAACAAAAACTTTTAAGTGCTTTTCATTTTTCACCTTTGGAAATTGTTGCATAGGGTGATTAGTTTTATAATGCTTATTGATCATATGATTGCCTTTGGAAGAAGTTGATAATTTATTGATTAGTAAAGGGATTAATATCATGGAAATGTGTTATTCTTACTTAATGTTCTATGGTCTAACGATCATTCTTTGTTCGAAGTTGTTTGAACCTCCATAACCCATCTCTTTGTCATTCTAGTCAATTGCCTTAACCCGAGAATTCGTCTTTTAATTATTCTTTAGTAATTTACTATTTATCGCTTGTTTGATTTCAAAATATGTTAATCTTTTGGTATTTAATTTCTTTTGTCCATCTTTGCATTATTTAGTTTGAATTGTATTGTTAGCCAAGTTTAGAAAACCAAAATAAAATATCTTATTAATCTTAGATTAAGTAAAGTTTTGTATTTTTGCTGTGTTAATTAATTGCTCCTTGAGGTTCGATAATTTAATTAATCAGGTAAAATAAATACATCAGTAATATACAAATATATCATGTATTTACATTAATATGACCATTTTCCCCAAGTTTTCAGGAGAGAATAATTTGTTTCTTTAGGTTTTAGAAAAAAAGTAAATAAAATATAAGCCGTGTTCGTTACGTGATCACAACAAACACTTTCTGCGAGTTTAAAAATAAATGTCTCCGGTCTTCAAATCCTTAAAATAAGCCGTCGATGATGAATGATCACACCAATATGATTTATTGGTTCAATTATTAATAAGGTACTAGGATGAATGACATTTAACATAATATAAGTCAACCAAAACAGCCACGTAAAACTATATGAGTGGTATCGACTTCTCCTTGAATCATATTCAATAGTAATATGCACTTTGCTTTCAAGCTCAAAGAAGAAGCAATAGTAGCAGAAGATGAAGCTGAGACGAGTTACTGTCTCGTCTACAAAGAATATCGCGGTTGGATCCTTTGTCTCATCATTGTCCACCTTTAATCGGGACACTGTATGATTGTCCACCTTATGATGTCCACTTTGTCTTTTTATTTTGGCTGTAATCTACACCTTCACCAACGTTCACATACACACTATGATCAAAACACCATTACCAGTACACATAACTCTAACATGTGTATCATCACTTTCCCCATAATTTGCATTCTTCATTACCTCAGTCTCAACATCCCTTTCACTTTTTGTATTCATGACTTCAGCAGCATTTGAACCCCCGTAAGTCTCATCCAAAAAACTGGCCCATAATTCTTGGTCATATCCACTTGGCCTAACGTCATCAACTCTGGCTCGTCCACTTCATCCAACCCAAACAATTCTTCAACTCTGTCTTATGATTCTTTCGGTTTATCTTTCGTTATGTCACGTTTAATGCTCGCTTCAATCTCTTCTAGCTCAGCCATAAATCCCTCATCTCTCGCAAATCACTATTGTGAAATCATCCATCTGTTACTGTCCATTTAAACACATTTCAAATAATCTTTCACGAATCATATGGGTTAAGGTTAAGAGAATCGGAAGATGCATGTAAATTTCCATCATCCAGGTTCAGGCCTTCCGGTTTCGTGTTTCTCTGTCACTCAATCTAATACCATAAACCTTCAAACTCGGACTCATACTTACTACGCTTTCATAAAACAATTCAAAAAAACAGTCCTAACGTAACCTAGGAAGCGAAAAACTCAGTCCTAACGTAACTTAAAGTTGAAACTAATAAACAAACTCGTCCGGTTGATAAGACTTACTTTATTCGGTTAGTTTTGTCCCTTTTTGCCAAAATATGTAGAGAAACACGGCTCTCATATATTGTTACTCTTCTCACATATCTTTTTAGAAAAGTGACCTTTCTGTTAATACACTCTTATATATATTGCGTTAAAAAGTTGGGGTAGAGAGAGTAAGACTAGCATTATAAGGAAGAAGAAGAAAAACTGGTAGGGGGGAGAGAGAGAGAGAGAGAGAGAGAGAGAGAGAGAGAGAGAGAGAGAGAGAAGGGTTTCTGCAATTAGGTTAAATTATTAAAGGTAGAATTGTCTTTGTGCACAACAAAAATATATTTTTGAAAATCTTTTCCTACGTGGTATTTTTTTAAAGGTGCTCCCTAAAAAATCATTTTTTAAAATTGTCCATTTCTTCAACTATATTATTATTTAGTTAAATATATTCAACCAATCATTAATAAGAAATCTTATATAAATGGTCAAAACTCAAAAGTTATTAAATACATTAATATATTAATATATAAGTATATGCTTATATATAATTAAATAATGTAAAATTGTGAGAACCCGTTTTGCGGAGTGGTTTAAATTAATTAATTTGGCCACCTATGTCACCAATTGTAACACCCGTGTTCAAAAATAGGGGTGTCGATCAAAACCAACATTTTTCGGTTCATACCGGTTCAATTTAATTGCTGAATTAATTTGGCTGGTTTGGGGTTAACCTAGGATCGAGGTTTTAAAGGAAAAACTCGACATCAGTGCTTGTTCAGCCGCTTTTTTACTTCAAGAGAGAGAAAGAAAAGGGGTTCAAAGTTCCTTGATTTTTTGTGGGTTTTTGGAGAGATTTTGGGTTGTTCTTGAGAGTTGAGGCCAAGGAAAGGTAGATCTTGAGGTTGCGGTGTTAGGAGTGCTATGTGCTGTCTTAGATCAGCTGTTTTTTGTCACTGTTCATCTATTGCAAAAGGTGAGTGCGTGACCATGGTTTATCTGAGCATGTTAAACCTTACTTATGTGTATTTGATTGATTTGGATGGCTGGAAATTGTTTTGTGTGGCTTGTTTGTGTGTTTTGGTTGCTGTGTTTGCATGATTGAGTGTTAGGATTCATGGGTGGAGCTTTGGAGGTGGTAAAATCATTCTCTAGAGAGTTGAGAGGCGATTTATGGGTTTCTGCGGAGTCGGTATTGCTCGACACCAATTTCTGGACAGCTTTTTCTGAACAACAATTTATGTACAGCGAGTTGTTAGTGTCTTTTTATGCCTAGTTTGTGTTGATTGGTTAATCTTATGCATGTTGGTTTGGTTTAATATGCTTGTGCGTATAACCCAGTATATGGGAGGATCGCTTCACTGAGTATTTGTGATAATACTCACGCATCTCATTGCGTTTGTGGTGCAGGTAAAGATAAAGTGTGACTGTAGAATCTAGGCGAGGAGAAAAGAATGATCTGTTGGCTCGCTGGTTGTGTTGTGATTTTTATGTTATTGCATTGTTAGGTTGTTAGCTCTGGAATTTAGAAACATGTTAGGATGCTTTTCTATTTCTAGATGATGACTGGTTTGGATATTGTTGGAATGTTGGTTTAATGCAATTGGTTATTTGGATTGTTCGGTTGAGTCTTCCGCTAGTTCTTGTTGGTTTAATTATTTTAATTGGAATCGTTGGTTAAGTAATTAATGTTCGGTTTAATTAGTTTGATTGGGTTACTATGGTTAAGGTTGGCTTAAAGTGAATTAGTTTGGTTTAGTTGATTTAGTCGGTTTAAATTGATTTAATCCGGTTTGCATAAATTAAAAAAAAACGGGTCGGGTCTATTCAAAAATATAAAAAGCATTTTTAATAAAATTACAGAAAATAATTACGATTAATTTGAATGAATGCACACATTACATGATATTTACAAGAAAAAGGTTGTATAAATTTTAAGCTATATAATTTTTTGTTTAAACTTTTTAAAATATATAGTTTAACTAGTTTAAGAAAGAATAATTTTGAATTAAAATATTTAATGCATTTGAAACCAATGTGATTTAACTGAATGGAAAATATTAATAATCATTTTAATACAATTATAAGAAAACTACATAATTGTGTTGAATGGGACACAATTAATCTTCTCTTTGTGTGATAAGGATTGTAATTTACGAAAAATTAATTTTCTAATTGAAAATCTAAGTGCATTTAATATGGTTAAATTTTTATATGTATAACATTAAATATTTAAGTTTTATAAATATAATTCCCATGGATAGCACATTTTAAGTTTATTTTCCACAAATACCACAATTTTTATTTTTTCCAAAAATAACAACACATTTTTTATTTTTCCAAAAATACCATAAGCATACAAATCTGATTTACGAAGTTGTAGATTTTTTTTTTTTTGGGTTGTCTATTTATATTTAGGCTACATTTTTTGGGGGTAGGATTTAGTGTTTAGTATTTAGAAATTAGTTTTGAATGTTAAAAATGTTAGTTTTAGTTTTGTGGTATTTTTGGAAAAATGTATTTTAGTGGTATTTTTGGAAAAAGACTCATAATGGTATTTTTGGAAAATACCTATTTTAGAGGTATTTAATAAAATTCTTATGGTAGTTATATATTTTTTTTTTATGTGTTTGGTTATAGAATCTACATTACTAAGAATAAAGTTATGAGAACTAAAAGTGTTTGACACAAAAAGATGGTAGAATCAAATAAATGAAATATAAAATTGAATATTTATGTATCCCAACAAACAATATATTTGTTTGATTATTTTGCTGTTTTATTTATAGTTTATAGATTATCTTGCTATATTTAATTTGTTTGATTTTTTTTTTTTTGTCAACACCAAACTCATATAGATTAGCTTAAATAAGCCAATTGGGGGGACAATTGTTAACAAACTTAACCAAATGCGGAATAGAACGTACATTACGTGCCAGACTATCCGCTTTTACATTCGCATTACGAGGAATAAGAGATAAAGAAAAGGTTGAGAATTCTTCCCTATCGCTATCAATATCCTTCAGGTATACAGAGAAAGCCGGCCACTCGGAAGGGGAAGACACCATCTTCACCAAGTCGGAGCAGTCTGTTTGAAACTCGACATCTCTGAAATCATGGCCTATCATACAACGCACCGCCCACATCAGTGCTTCTACTTCTGCATGCAGAGGAGAAAGACTTCTACGAGGGTTCGAAGCTCCCATAAACGTGGAGTCATCCTGCGAACATTGACAAAACCATCCTAATCCCGCATTCTTATCCGTTTCTTTCCATGATCCGTCAATAAAGCAATGGTATCCTGAAAATACAGAAGATAAGGTAATCTGTCGCCGTGGTAGGAAAAGTCCCGGCACCAAGTTCACCGTGGAGGTTCCCAGATCTTCAATCTGAGCTACCTGCCAAGCACCCGCCTCCGTTATTGCAACCCGAGTCACCTCTTGAAAACATTGATCTTGATTTTTAAACACTTTTGCATTTCTTGCTTTCCAAATATACCATAATAGCCAAGGAAAGGGGCCACCTTGCCCATCTCTTAAAGATAACCTTAAGAGATAATCCATATTAGCGTATAATGATCCTGAAGGAAAATGATTTGAGCCCAGCAGGATATGATCCAATGCCCAAGATTGCCTAGCAGGCGGACACTCAAACATCACATGGTTTACCGTTTCCACCAGAACACCACATCGTAGACAACTTTGATCACAGTTTATACCTCTATTCTTCAAATTAACCAAAACCGAGATACACCCTGTCAGCAGTTGCCACATAAAATGTTGAATTTTCGGTGGACACCGTACTTTCCAGATTCCTGCAATCAGAGGAATTATATCCGGTCCACTCACCTGAGGGATCAAAATGCCGGGGTCAGGTAACCGCGCTGTATGATACCCTGATTTCACCGTGTATTTTCCATTTTTCGTGAAATGCCAACCAATAGTATCCAAAGATGGAATATTACCTATAGGGATAGCACTAATCAGTTCCACATCAGTTGGAGCAAAATTTTCCTGAAGCACATCTATCTTCCAAGAGTTAGATGTACGATCCAATAATTGTTGAATATGTAATGAAGGGTCCATAACGGCCCCATTACTTAAAGCTGGTCTCGGGAATTGAGCTGGGATCCAAGGATCGGTCCACACTGAAATTGTGTGGCCTTCCCCAACTCTTTTAATAAGTCCTCTATTAACCAGAGATCTAGCTGACATAATACTCCGCCAACAATAAGAAGGTGAGTATGACCGTAGGTTGTCCATAGGATTGGAGTTCCGATAATATCTGCTTTTAAAAACTTTTGCAAACAGAGATTATGGTACCTCCATCAGCCACCAAAGTTGCTTAGCTAGTTTTGGGCGGAGCCGACTTTCCGGTGTGTAGGAGAAGATTTGGGGAAGGTTCACGCAATCGATATTGACGCGGGACGTGTTCGGGTGTCGATAGACGGGTTCAAGCCTCTGGCTTTTGAGTCGGTTGTAGAAATTGAGTCGGGTATCGAATTTCCGGTTACACTTCGGTACGAGCGACTCTTCGGGTACTATCGCCTCTGTTCAAGTTTGTGTCATGATGAGGATTACTGCGGATTGGTTATAAATGAGGTAGCTGTGCGCCCTCCCTCGTCTTCTCGGGATGAAGGGGACAAAAGGAGTCAAAGGTATAGAGGTGCGGTCGGGGCGTATAGGAGACGTGGGTCTGACCATGAGGGTAAACAGCGGGAGCCGAGTAGAGGAAGGGAGAGTGGTGCTGAGTCCCGAGGCGAGGGTGGTCAGAGACATCACGGGAACAACCATGAACATCGAAGCCGGTCTGGTCTTTTTCGCGGTGAACCATCAAACCGGACCCGGAGGTACACTAGTTATGCGGCCCTTAATGCCCATCGTAGAACAGAGATTGATGTGGTGACAGGGGAGATAGGCATTGTGGAGCCACATGAGAGGCATGCGGTTGATCCTCAATCTAAGAAGGTGAGGAAGGCTTTTTTCCATGAAACGGTGACGAATGCGGGTGTTGAGGAGGAGGAAGGATTGAGTGGGCTGGCGGCTGTGGAGGAAAAGGAAGAAGTTCGGGTCCAGACGGGTGCAGCTGCAGAGGAGAACCAACCAGAAGTGGACAGTCCACAGGAGCAAGAGGAACAAATGATGGTGGCGACTAGTGATGCTTTGGTTCTTTCCCTAGGAGACGTGGTGAATCCAACTGATGAGCAAGGGTATGAGGATGATTCTGGTCAGTTAGGGGAATGGGCAATTGATCCAATGGAAACTGAGGTGTTGGAAGCGGATAGTGGGGAAGCTTTTGTGACATCACTTGAAGAGTTGGCTCTTGTTGCGGATGGTGAAGACGACGAAACCAAGAAGAAGCAAGATGTTGAGAAAGGAAGACGTGGGAAGAATGTCGCTTTGGCTGGTGCCAGCTCAGAAAAGAGGATTGCCAATATGGTTTCGACACCAAGAAAGAGATCGGCTCCAAAGTCAACTCAAACCGAGGAGGCCGATAACCCGAAGAACCGGGAGTTGGACAAAGGGGGTAATGGTGGCCCTAAACCACCAAAACCAAAGGGTAATAAATGAGGGTACTAAGTTGGAATTGCCAAGGGTTGGGGAACAAGGCGACTATCGGTTATCTCCGGGATCTATGGAAGAAACATCGGCCGGATTTTTTATTTTTATCGGAAACTAAGCAATCTTCTCTATTTTTAGAACAATTTCGTTGTCATTTGGGTTATAGTAATGTAGTAACGGTTTATCCTATTGGTTGTAGTGGTGGTTTGGCTCTTTTTTATAATAATAATAATAATAATTTTAATGTTTCAATCTTATTCAAATCTAATCGGTTAATTGATGTTGAAGCAACTTTTAAAAATCATGTGATTTACATGACCTTTGTTTATGGCGATCCGGTTCCACGAAAAAGAGATTTGGTTTGGGAGCGCTTAACACGGTTTGGATTAAACCGCTCTTCTCCATGGTTTTTAATTGGAGACTTTAACGAAATAACGGGTAACCATGAAAAGCGTGGTGGTATGTTACGGCATGCCTCCTCTTTTGTTGACTTTAATGGGATGATAAGTAATTGTGGATTGCTAGAGTTTCCTCATATAGGGGATTGGTTATTTTGGAGGGTTTGGCGTGATAAGAAACCAATTCGATGCAGACTAGATAAGGCTCTAGGTAATGCGGATTGGCACGATATTTTTTCGGATACTGTTTTGGAGTATTTGCCGATGGTTGGCTCGGATCATAAACCAGTCTTGGCTGTTGTGGCTCAACAAAATGTGCGTCGGCGGTGATGTTTCATGTTTGATAAACGGTGGGTTGGGAAGGAAGGGCTTCTTGAGACTATTGAACATGGTTGGAATGGTCTATCTGAACACCGAACGGCAGGGTTCATTGATAAACTGGTTAACTATAGACATAAAATATCTCAATGGAGGAAAACACAGGTTCCTTACGGTCGGGAATCCATTGAAGAATTGAAAAAGAAACTCGTTGAGGCTCAAGAAAAGGATACTAGTACACCAGAGGAGGTTTATGATTTAACGGTTCGATTACGGAACGCTCACAAGGATGAGGAGATTTATTGGCAACAGAAAAGTCAAAGTCGGTGGATGCGTGTTGGTTATAGGAATTCTAAGCATTTTCACGCACAAACAAAAATCCGTCGGGCTAGAAACCGATTAGTTGGATTATTTGATAATAATAATGTTTGGTCATCGGAAGAGAAAGCGGTGTGTAAGATAGCAGAGGATTACTTTTCAAATCTGTTTACTACGAGTGATCCCACTGATTTTGAGGAGGCTTTGGAAGAGCTGCCAACGGTGATTACGGAGGAAGTAAATGATTTTCTTACGGCGACGGCTACGGAGGAGGAGGTGCGTAGTGCGTTATTTATGATGCATCCAGACAAAGCACCAGGTCCAGACGGGATGACTGCTTTATTTTTCCAAAAGGCATGGGCGGTGGTCAAGGAAGACCTAACTTCTCTGGTTAATTCCTTTTTTCGGGATGGTATTTTTGATAAACGGTTAAATAAAACGAATCTCTACTTGATTCCAAAAGTGGAACGCCCTACTAGAATGACAGAGCTGCGACCAATTAGCTTATGTAATGTGGGGTATATGGTAATTTCCAAAGTTTTATGTCAACGTCTGAAGAAGGTTTTACCACTAATTATTTCGGATACCCAATCTGCTTTTGTGGCGGGACGGTTAATATCGGACAATATATTAACAGCCCAGGAAATGTTTCACGGGTTACGTACCAATGCCTCTTGTAAGAGTACTTTCCTGGCTATTAAAACGGATATGAGTAAGGCTTATGATAGAGTGGAATGGGCTTTCCTTGATAGGCTTCTGCGTAAGTTTGGTTTTACCGATAAATGGGTTTCGTGGATCATGTTCTGTGTATCTTCTGTTGAATATAGTATACTCATTAATGGTCATGTGCAAGGTTTTATACGCCCAGGAAGGGGTTTACGATAGGGAGATCCGCTATCCCCATATCTGTTTATTTTATGTACTGAGGTATTAATTGCAAATGTTCGGAAGGCGAAAACGAATAAGTTGATAACTGGGATTAAGGTGGCGAATAAGTGTCCGCCAATCACTCATCTCTTGTTTGCAGATGGTAGTTTGTTTTTTTGCAAGGCAAATAAGGATCAATGTGCGGTTATATTGGATATCTTAAAGCAGTATGAGCGGGTTTCTGTGCAACAGATTAATTTTCAGAAATCTGTAATTCAATTTGGGCATAAAATAGATCCTACTATCAAAGCGGAAGCAATTCTGGGGATTACCACTTTGGGGGGGGGGGGTATGGGATCTTACCTGGGGCTACCAGAGAGTTTAGGCGGAGCAAAAACGAAGGTATTCTCCTTTGTCAGAGATAAGCTGGACAAGCATATTAATGGCTGGGCGGCAAAGTTGCTATCAAAGGGGGGTAAGGAGGTGATGATTAAATCTGTGGCATCAGTGCTGCTGACATATGTTATGTCGTGCTTTCGTCTTCCGAAAACAATCACAGCGAAACTAACCAGTGCAGTGGCAAATTATTGGTGGAGCCCGAATGGTCATACAGGTGGCATGCATTGGCGTTCTTGAGATAAGTTATGTTCGAGTAAAAAGATGGGAGGTTTAGGTTTCCGGGATATTAATGATTTTAATTTGTTTGATTATTTATTTAATTATCTTTATTATTCTCAGTGTTTTTTTTTTAAATTTGAAACTTTTTCTAATGGCATTTCAATGTAAATTCTTACAATTTATAAGATTATTTTTATTTGTATACTTCTTAATTAATGTAGTAGGATAATAGAGCCGATAATAATTTTGAAACATACAAGATATTTTGTACTTAAATTTCCTAAAATATTTGTAAAATACCATTTACCTAGCCTATAACAATTTTTTCATTCAACATTTTTTAAAAATATATGTTATCTTGAAAATCTTTAAAAACTCACAGCCTAAACTAATTAATATAACTTAAATTTTCCCTTTATGGTTTAACTTTAATTTTTGCTTCCTCATTCTTCTACTAATTTAATTAACTGATTTAACTTTTCTATGAGTTTAATTACCCTAAATCTTCAGTAATAACTAATAAGGATCTAACTATTTTTAACCACTCACATTTTTCTAGCTAAAACTTTTGTCTCTTTCATCTCAATTAGTGAAAAATACAGTGAACAAAAATCCATAACAAAATTAAAAAAAAAAAAACCCCATTTTTAGAAGAAAAAGTTAGTCTAATAAAAGCCAAACTCTTACAATTAGGCCCTTAATGATAAGTATTAATTAAATTAGTCTAATAAAAGCTAATAGATTTGAGCAATTAAAAAAGAAAAAGGTCAAATCCGAGAGAGAGGCACAAGGTTTGGTGTCTTGTTTAATAAAAAATCTTGTGGTATAGCTCGTGTTACAGCTTTAGCCCAAACAACACCATAGAGAGAGAGAAGAAGACGACGCTTACCCCAAAACTCGAATCCCTAGGAGAAGAGGTAAACTAAGCTCTCTCCCGATTACCCCAAACTGCAAATTTCTCATCTCTCTCTCTCTCTCTCTCTCTCTCTCTCTCTTCTTCTTCTTCTTTATCTTGTTTTCCGCAGCCTTTACTTTTTCTTTTACCTCTGATCTTTGTTATCTTCCATGGATCCATTCTATTTCTTCACTAAAGGTTCTCTCTTTCTTAAGTAAACTACAAATCTCTCCTTGATTTTGCTAACTTTCTTAAGTAAACTACAAATCTCTCCTTGATTTTGCTAAAGTTTTCATCTTTCTTGGTTCTTTTTGTGTGGTTTGAATTGAATGAATCTCAAATCTGGTTCTTTTTTTTTATGGGTTTGGTTAAAAATCTTGTCTTTTGAAAACGGTTTGTTTATTTCAGTTAGATATGTTCTCTTTTAGGAATTTTGTATTTGGGTTTCAATTTGGGGGTTTTATATGTTGTCTACTAAGAACTGTGAGTAGCTTTTGCATTATCATAAAAGCTGCAATGCTTTTGACTTATGAATTTGTATCTTTTTGTTTCTTGTTTTAGGTTGGTGAGATGAATTGAGAGTTTAGTCCACGCACGTGTATCTATTGCCCTCAGGTGCTTGTTACTTATCTGAGTAAGTTTACTGATTAAAGCAAACTATTTTGCAGGTTTCTTTTTCTGAGTAGTTTGAGTTATATAAAAAAGCTAACTTCTTTTTTTGCAGGTTTTGGATTTTTTAAAAAGAAGTCTTTTTTGTTTTGGCTGGATAGTATTTTTATTACCATTTTGTTGAAGAATGAGCTTAACCAAGAAATCAAGTGATCCAAAGCTAAGTGGTACTAGTATCAAGCCAACAACTTTGAACCCTCATGCTGCTGAGTTTGTTCCGTTTACACTACGGTCTCCTTCATCTGGAAGTACAAGCACTTTGGATGCTGCTACGTCTAGGCTTTTAGCTTCCTCTAGCTCTGTAGGGAAAGCTGTTCTTGATCGAACTGAATCGTCTGTGTCGCATCACTCTGATGAAGAAGCACGTCAGTTCTGGAGTCACCAACTTCCTGATGATTTAACTCCGGATTTCGGGTTAATGACTCAAGATGAAAATTCTTATGGATCTGGGAGTTTGTCGTTAGCTGGCTTATCGTTGTATGATGGTAACGAAGCTGAAAAGTTTCCTTCTCCTGGTGGAGGATACGGATTTTCTGACCAAACTGGATTAGGTTCTCATACCGCTAATGGTAATAGCTTGGCTGAGAAGAGTAGATATCCCATTTCTTCATTTGGGGAAGATCCTCAGCGGCCGAGTTTCATGCAAATGAGTCCAAAGCCTTGGGATAAGCAAATCATGAATGCCGAGCAGCTAATTGGGAATGACAGGGAAAGAAACCCTTTCAGTGGGAACTCTCGGCATGGCTTCGTTAACGACATCATCACTGAGAGTCCAGGGGAAATGGAAGTCAACCCTGTGGATTTTCTTGCTTCTCAGTTCCCTGGATTTGCCGCTGAAAGTTTAGCAGAAGTTTATTTTGCTAATGGGTGTGATTTGCAGTTGACAGTTGAGATGCTTACTCAGCTTGAGGTATTCATTCTCCTAGTCAATATATGGCAAACCTTTCGGTGGTGTTTCATTATCTTATGATGTTATAGGCAATGTGCGTTTCCAAATATTTGTTCTTGTGCGTTTCTTTCAAATATTGGCCGTTTGACAAATATTCTGAATTCCCTGGCTATGCAACCCATTATTCCTCGTGAACTAATGGTTCAATGTAGATTCAAATGAAATTACGGGCTAGAGTGGTGATTATTGGAAAGCTATCTCTTTTATGTATTAATTTGACAGAGACATGGTAGTTGCCCATGATACCTTGAAAAAAGTAGGATCTGTGCCTGAAATATAGAAGAGTACAGATCTTGTCTAATCTTATTGTTTAATTTACTGGATGGTGTCGTCCTTTTTATTAGCTGTTATGTCTAATCTTATTGTTTTGCTATTTTATGTATGTTTCTTTCCTGTTGAAGATATGACTGTGTGTTTATATGCTTCTCATTCAAGTGATCTTGTTGTTAACTTCCATCGTTTAACTGTAGCTACAAGTGGATGGTGGCTTGAATCAGAACATGAGCCCTAAGACTTATGCTGCGCCTAGTCTTAGTCCTATGGATTTTCCTGCTCTAAGCATCTCAAATAGCCATGGTATTCCTGCCCAGTTTGGTGGGGATGATTTGCAACAAACTGGAAATCATTACCAATCTCCTGAAAAAGATAACATGTTCTTCTTCAAGTCGGGACCATCAGTATCTCAGCCTGGTGCAATCGATTATGTTTCTGCTGTCAGGAAGTTAGCATCTCAGGATTCTGGTATGTGGAAATATGAACGCAGTGATTCGGCAGACTCATCCATTGGCACAAGCAGAAATTCTCATGCTTCAGCTGGTGCTTACAAAAGTGGCCGTGGGAGGAGTATATATTCAGATAAGCTGCAAAGTCGAGCTCAGACTCGCCCTGCTCCTGTCTGGGTGGAAACCGGGGATGCAGTTGGTAAATTTCTTCTTTTGATTCAGATAACTATCTCTGTCTTGTTATACATTTGCTTAGAATAATGTTATCTAATTGGACAACATTGTATTTCTGGCTCTCTTTGTCATGGGAATGAACAGGGAATATGTATTCTGACTTACGCGAGGAAGCACGTGACTATGCACGTCTGCGGAATGTTTACTTTGAACAGGTATAATCCACTTGTAAATGTCATTTTTGCTCATTTATGTGGCCTCTATTTTTCTGAAGACTATCTGGCTATGGTTTTTTGTGCATACCATCTGGTCTATTAACTGTTAAGGCCGTGTAGTGGGGCCTTACCTTATCTCTATTGTCCAGATTGATTTAAGAAAAAAAACAATACTTAGGATATATGAGGCACTGGTCCATAAGTATTTCGAGTCTTATTTGCAATTTAAGATGATAGTTGATAAAGCCATTTCTGTTGATGATGAGGTTTTCACCAGTTTTATCACTTCCGACGTCATCTTATTAACTTGTTATCTTTCTGTGTTAGTCACGTACGCTCAATATTCTATGTTACTTCTGGTTGAGCGTAGGCACGGCAAGCATACCTTGTTGGCAATAAGGCCTTAGCTAAAGAACTAAGTGTCAAGGGACAGTTGCATAACATGCAAATGAAGGCTGCTCATGGGAAAGCACAAGAAGCCATTTATCGCCAGAGGTTTGACTTCTTTACCTTGCAGCACTGCATCTCCTTCTGACATGATCTTTTATACCAAACACACACTGCTATTCCATAAACGAAAAACAACACTCTTGTTCCCAGTATCTCTGTTCTAACCTGCCTATGAGCAATAAATGAAATAGGAACCCGGTGGGTCAAGGAAACGGTAGAGGGAATGAGAGAATGATAGACTTGCATGGGTTACATGTGAGTGAAGCTCTTCAGGTGTTGAAGCACGAACTGAGTGTATTGAGGAGCACAGCTCGAGCAACGCAAGAGAGACTTCAGATTTACATATGTGTAGGTACTGGCCACCACACAAGGGGTTCCCGCACTCCGGCTAGACTCCCAGTTGCTGTACAGCGCTACCTACTCGAAGAAGAAGGCCTTGACTATTCTGAGCCTCAGGCCGGTCTCCTTAGAGTCATCATATACTGACAGAGAAAAGCCAGGTACTTATATAGGATACACGACGGGAAAAGAAAACAAAAAAAAAAAGGAAAAGTGACCACGCTATTCATTTTGTTGTATCTGTTCTGTACATGGGGAGAGAGAGAGAAGAAACTAGCTGAAAATGAAGAAGGAAAAAAAAAGTGTTAGGAAAGAGATCTGCAAGAAGGAAGGAATGAAGGCGTATGCATAAAATGTTTAGGTTTGTTCAGTTAATACTTTTTGTAGCATCAGAGGATCAATCAGACCTCTTTCTATCTTTTTGTCGGGATTTATACGATGTTTTGTTGATTCTCTGTGCTTTTTTACAGTTTTACTCTATATGCTATACTCCTTTCTTCTGGAAATTCTCATATTTGTAATTTTCTTAGATTCAATGTGCATCACTAAGTTTTGAATTCATGAGTCATAAAGGGAAAAGTTTGTACTTTAAAGCATATAGCTTGTTCCAATTTTGTATTGTAAAAGAGACATCAAGCTCTAATCATGAGCTCATAAACATTACTGTTGTTCTCTCCATTCACACGCTTAAGCATTTCAAAACTTTTCCTGCTTCCCAGTAACTCTATTCTTGGGAAAACCATGCATCCTTCATCTGATGTCTCTCTGCTGCAATACACTGTTCTTAGACGGTCAGCGTGCCTCGAGTCTGTGTGAATCGCAACCTCTATTTCATGATCCGACAAGTTCTCCTGTAGAATCAATACAAACAAGGAAGAAGTATCTGATTATTCTGGAGTTTAATTAGTTACTCATAAATTCCTAACTAAGATAAAGAGATTGATTTGGGAAACTTCAACCATTTAGCTACCTAAATTTATAACAAATGACTTACTCTACCCATACATAGCAACTAGAAGGAACTGAAACAAAGGAATTGGCCATTTGAATTGTAGATTCATCTAGATAGTTATACCTGATAAAAAATGTGGATATAGTCTAAGATTTGCAAGCATGTAAAACCGTTATCACTGAAATAGGTCCGTGAAGAAGGTCCCATCTCCGAGAACCGATCAGTTGGAAATAGAATTGTAAGGAAGCTGTCTTTAAATATCACTTCCGTCTTCTCACTGCAGAAGAACACCCCAGAACAAAAAATATAGTTGACCACAGTGAGATATCTCCTCAGTTGCAACAATTGTAACAATGGAAAGTAGTAGGCTATCAATGGACGCAATTTAACTTCTTTGTGAATCATGCAACATGCAAACACTAAAAAATGAAGTAAAAAAGTCGTACGAAGAGCAAAACCGTACATCTCTGTGAGTGCTCTGGTTGAGTTTGAAAAAGAAGCCACTGGATCTAACCCATTATCTTCTTTCTCTTCTTGTGCAACAGAAGGCTGAGGTTCACTGATGTTACCACTGCTGCTGCAAGAATCAGTAAAAATAGTGGCAGTTGAAGCTGCTTCAGATATTGTCCAACAAATATTCTCCAGCAGGCTGTTCTGTGTTATGCGTCTTATTGGGTTTTGACAAGTCTATGAGACATCCAACAAGAGAATAGGCAATAAAATTCAGACACTATCAGCTGAAACAAAATCTTTAAGGTCAATTCAGACTTCAGGAAGTAAGAAGATCATCAGTTACCTGCATGTGGCGAGTACGCCGTCTCCTAACCCCGGTTTTAGCTATATCTACAGTCTCTTTCCTTTGTTGTTTTGATTTACTTTTAAATTTAGTAGCATCTTGAGAATTACCTTCCCCACAAGTTTTCTGTGACAATTTATATAGAAAGCTTGCAATTAATACTCTCATCACTTAAGATTACAAGATGGGACAATAAAAACCATTAAGCCTAATTACATGTAAGGATAGAGAATGGACAGTAACTTGTGAAGACAGTACATAAAACACACTATAAAAAAAAATTAAGTACCTCCTTTGTAGAACCATCTTCAAAGTTTTCAAGCATTAATCCTAACTGTCGGGCTAAATCAGGTGACATATGAACAAGTCTTTGTCGATGTCTCTCCACTGTTTTTAGAACCCATAGTGGCTGATGCAAACAAACAAACAATAGCAAGCATGTTTAGGTCATCATGAAACAAATCTGTTACTCAACTAGAACTATCTTTCTCATCTAGCTCACTAATCACTATGGTCAATTGTATGACGAAGTAACAGAGCAATCAGGAGGCATTTGACATGGGATTGAGTATCAAATTCTCCACATTTTCATAGAGAATCAAAACAAACGGAAGTACACCTTCTGGAGAATGCATTACACTTATACAATAATGACATAAAGAAGAACTCACTGAGACAATAGTTTTAGCATGGCCAAGATATCTCGGGATAGAAGCACCTTCACACACAACAAGACTTGCATTGCAACCAATAAACCATGAATCAATGACCTTTGCTCCTTGCTCTCCAGCAACCTTTAACACCTAAACAGACCACATTCTATTTAAAGAGACTCATAGAAAAAAGTACAATCTGGCCAACAAGTTGAAAGCACCCAATGAGGTAAATTACCTTAAGCCGGAGTTCATCTGAAATGTCTGAATCAACATACATGCAATGGTCAGCAAGAGTCATGTCAACACTAGTGCCAGATTCTGTTCCAATAGAAGATACTTGGTGGTCCTTTGTTGATGTGCCAAAACGTACAGCTTGCTGAATTTGCCGTGGACGACAAATAGGTTCTAGATCAAATGCCGGGATCAGATCATCCACCTTTTCGCTATTTTGTCCAAGTTGTTTAACATTGTAAAGTGATTCGCTCATCCTGACTACAACATTACAAAATATCAAGGTCAGCTTTAACTTCAGAAACACATAACCTTATAACCTTTTTAAAATACCCGTGAGCTCTCTTTTCCAAAGTTAATTTGCTCCAATTGAGTTTAATACACTAATAACCAAACTGAGGCTATTCACACTATCCTTATATCATGTTGATGAAATATCACAGAATATCTCTAGCAAACTAGAAGCAGCCAATGTAGGACTGACGACTACAAGGCTATTATTCTTCTAACATGAAAGTTGAAAGAGTCAAAAAATAGTCAAGGGTCCATGAATATGCTAGCAAAGCTTTCACAAATTTGTACTGCTACTAAACTGAGGCAGTAACCAGCAAAACTGAATGGTCAAATGTATTGATACCAACTCTCTGGCTAAACCAATCTGGAAATAATTTAAAGATGCATAAAAGCTTACAGTTTCTCTTGACGCTATCTACAAACCAACCAATTGTAACAACAAAGAGACCTTTTCTTGCTCCATGTTTCAAAGTATGCTCAAACTTACGTCCACATGAGCTGTAAGTTTTCGTTAAGCATCACATAAACCACCATGAAAATGTAACCAAACGACTATAAACTATTATCTAAAAGAAACGCTTTAGAAGTACAGGATCATGTTGGTTGTGTAGTCAAAAACCAAAACACTACAACAAATTGCAACAAAGATGAACAGAACTGAGAAAAAAAGGATATCTGAACGACCAAATGAGTACATCCCATGTGTAGGTGAGGACTGTACTCGCCTCCAAGTCTCTCTGTCGCTTCCTTGACTTGCTTTCTCGCATCTGCAAAGAACAAGCAACACAACATATCATAACATCAAATCCCAATTTTTAAACATATAAACCAAAGTTCTAAATAACAACAAGATCACAACAGCACCCTCCTATAAAAAGTCTCTAAATACAGTATCGAAGTTATCAAATTTAAAGATTGGTGAACATAAATCTCCAAACTTCAGCCTATTGCCAAAGAATGAAACTTTAAAGATGGATGAACATAAAAATTGAAACTTTCTGATTGAAAAGGGAACAAAGTCTCAACCTTTGGATAAACCAGTGACACAAATGACAAGAGAAGAGAAGGGTCCATTGAACTGAGACATTGGAAGAGGAGGAGATTGAGAAACAGGGAACAATTTAGAACAACCCTTTGAATCAATCAGACAAACACTTCTTTTCCTGAGAGCACCCATTGTAATACTTCATGAACAAACCAAACACCAATCTCAGCTTTCTTATAAACGCATAATTCAAAAAACGGAATCATTGCAGAAAGAGTAACAAAAGAATCAAAATCAAAAGGAAGTCACTTTCTCAGAGGAAAAAAAAAGAAATCGGGGAATGTAAGAAGAAGCATGAAAAGGATTCAAAGGTTTGGTTTTTTTTTTTAGGGTTTAGTGATTGTGGAGAAAATGGTGCTTTAGGCTTTAAGCTTTAGGCTTTAAGCTTTAGGCT